TAGTAAAATTAAAAACTTTTATATATAAGAAAAATTATGTATTTTACTAATTATAATTAGTAAAAAATTTAAGTATTACATTATTTTTGATGATCACTATATTTACTTAAATAAATATATTTAAAAAAATTTATTTAAGTATTATATTTTTATTAATTACTATTATATAAATTAATTTATTATTAAAATTTAATATAATAATTTTAATTATTTAAAAGTTTAAATCAAAAAATTTTTAATATAAAAAATTATAAAAAATTAATTATTTTTAATTATTATAAATTTTATCTTAATTATTTATATTATTAATATTTAATAAAATTATTTATTAACAAGTTAAAGATAATATTTCAAAAATAAGTTTGATTTAATTTAAATTAAACTCAAATTAAACTTGAACTCATATTTTAAATTAGAAATTCAAATTAAATTTGAATTCAAATTTAAAAAAAAATTTAAATTTAAATTTAAATTTAAATTTAAATTAAATTTAAACTTAAAATTTGAATCTTATTTGAATTTGATTTAAGATTAATTCTAAATATAATAATAAAAATTATAATTCTAATTAAGAATTATCATTTTACTTACAAGTATAAAATAAATTTATTATTTAAAATTTTAACTTTAATTAAATAAAACTAAAATATTTTATTTAAATAATAATAATTTATTATAAATATAATATTTTTATAAATAATAATATTTTAATATAGAGTATCTTAATAAAATTTATAATTTCTAAATAAGTATTATAATTTTGTTTATAAATATAAAATAGATTTATTATTATAATAAAATTATAATTATTTATTTAATATTAGTTTATAGTTTATTATTATATAATATACTATGCTATATATAACTTATTATATTATAATTATCTGATCTATATCAAGAGAAGTTATCTAGTATAATAAGTATAAATAGATTTCTTAATAAAATTTCTTTTAATTTTTATTATACTAATATATTACTCTTTTTATATTCTTTATTTATAATCTTTATTTTACTTATTTAGTTATTTATAAGTATCTTTCAGAAATACTATAAATATTTTCTTTTTAAGTATTTATATTATTATTAATTCATATAATAATAATTTATTATTTAAAAATATTTGCTTTTTTGTTTTGTATTTCTTAATTTTATTTTATCTTAATAAAATAAATATAAGTTTATATAATTAAATAAAATTCTATTTGTTTTTAATTTGATTTCTATGTATTTCTTGTTAAAATATATATATATAACTAGAAAATTACAACTATTCAAAATTTTAACTTTAATTAGACAGAATTAAAATATTTTCATATAAATAATTATAATTTATTAACATAAATATAATATATTTTCATTAATAATAATATTTTTTAGAAATTATTTTAATAAAATTGGTAATTCTAAATAAGTATTGCAAGTTTATTCTCAAAAATACCATTATGTTCTCTGAGAATAATGAGAACATTGAATTTTACAACCTGCCAGCAAGTACATCAAAAAATATCAACTTATATGATTTCATAAATTTTGGATAAAATGGTAAGATCAGGAATATTTCTCATCACTTTTTTACCAATTTCTGCTCGCAAGATTTTCCACACTCAAAAACTTGGAATTTCTTATTTAAATTAGATCTTTCTCAATCGCGAACTTAACAAACAGAAAAGTAAAATTTCGATTTGATATAAATAGAGAAAATGCATTTCAAGTTGCTCTTACACATTTCTCGTCATAAGTTGCCATCATGTAGACTTGTGCTCTTATACTAATTTATGGTTAGGCGTGTAGCCAGATTTTTATCATTCGCTTTCAACATCTGCACAGAAATTCGGTTAATCGAGAATATTTTGAGTTATTATATCTTTGTTTTTACAAATTAAATGAATGTAGAGTATTACAATCAGTGTATCTTAAGAATCTGCTTGACACCATGCGAATCAGGATATGCCTTATCAAAAACTTCATAAAACTTTGCCAACAACTCTTTCTCATCTGTCTCATCACCCCATTTATTTTCCTCATAAACAAAACTTCCGAGTTTTTTCGTTTGAATTAACGCAATAAGGTCATCCAACATTTCACGGTATTCCTGGATAGGATGTGTCTCTTTCCAATTCGCCATCCAGTATCCGACAAAACGCAGGTCATCAAAGATTAGCATTGACGCGGGAATACGCAATGGCTTACGTGACATTGCACCATAAGTCACAAGATATCCAGAGTAACTGAAAAATTTGTTAAAGTATTGATCAGCAATAAAAGTAAAAGTATGAACTGATCATAAAATTAGGGTTACCTTAAGTGTTTAGCAATCATAGTTGCAGAATCCCCGCTAACACAATTAAGTCCCAACGGAATATTTGCCTTTTCATCACCTATAAACTTCAGGAACTGCGGTTTTGAACGATACTTGCTCTCTAAATCTTGATCACTGATTACAATGGTTTTTGTGTCTGATTCTCCACCGCCAAGTGATTGTAATCTCGAGTTTACTTGTTCAAAATCTGGTCTACAAAATTCGTAAGAGATAATATTTATTCACCTATAAAAATTTAAAGGAGAATATTTTCAAATTAAAATTACCGATCCCGTATAGTATTGATAGTGTTGATGCCCCAAGCTTTCGCAATTTGTATTACAGCCTGGCCAACGCCACTGTTACCTCCATTTTGTATTACATAATCACCTTTTTTAAGCTTTACATAATCCTTCAACATTCGATAAGCAGTTGCATTATTAACAGTTAACGTAGCTGCTGATGCTAAATCTATAGACCCTGGTTCTATTCGAGCAATTTCTTCAGGTTTAGCAATAGCATGAGTTCGCCATGTTCCTAATAATTATTCGATTATTAGTCATTTGATCAGCGCAATCTTCCAATTTGATTTATAACGTACCGAACCCTGCCTTCGACATCACAACCCAATCACCTACACTAAATCCTTTCACTTGATCACCAACACCAATAACCTCAGCAACACCTTCGTTTCCGGCGACTGCCACTGCATCCTCGGTTCCAAATTCTTCTCGAGTGAAAGGCGGTCGCAATGGATAAACGCCTTCGATTTGATTAATATCCGAAGGATTTATCGGTATAGCAAGAAAGTGAAGAAGAACTGATGTTGGTGTAAGTGATGGAAGACGGTATTTAAGAACTCTAACGATATCGAACATATGAGATAAAGATACAAGTAAGGATGTCGATAGTTATCTAAGGTAAATTATCCTTTATATATTACAAACCTCAGAACCTCTTTAGGTTGTCCATATTTTCCATAAACAACAGCTTTGACTTCAGGCATCTCAGCTTTTACTCTTGATAATTCACTCATACCTCTTGACCAAATAGTAAAGCAAAGTTTCGAAGCAACGCTACTACGATTCCGACCAAGGCAAGCATTGCTAAAGATAGTCGCTTGCTTTACATAACTTCCGTAAAAAGAGACTGTTTTTGGATAAATTGACATTTAACTTGATAAATTAAGATATTGAACGCGTGATACACTCTATTAACCATTATTTTTATTTTACGTGTGCGCGAAATATTCACGTGTGTTGATGCAAATTTAAAAATATTTAATTTGATCATTTCATCACCGGGGAGGAATTTAAATAAAATAACAACTATAACAATTATGCATTTTTAATTGTTTCCCTGAAATACGTTGCAATGGGAAACCATTCTTTACACTTGAGTCTAAATTGTTCAGCTTTAGGGGAATTGAACGTTTTCTTGAGACTCTCATAGATATTAATGCAAATCTTCAAAGGAATTACAAAAAGAAATTTATTAGAAATGATAATTAAGACCAACACGTTATTTAAGCATTTATATAGAGATAAAAATACCGGTAATGTTCTAGTTTTAGCATATTCCTCGTTATCAATTACCCTCAACAACAAATCTTCGGCTTCCTGTTTATAACTCGGGTCGATGAGTAATAAAGATTCTGCTGCAACTAATAAATGCGGAACAGAACCTTTATTTCGCTCGAGAAATTCAGTATTGAACTCTGGTAGAGAAATGTCTTGAGAATGAATGATTGACAATTGTTCCGTAACGACTTTTGCAACAATCAGGTTAATTGAGGTATCACTAGCGACTATCAAACGAAAATATTAATACGATCGAAAGAATAAACATTCAATAATCTCGTGAATTCTTTAATACCATCTTTCTCGAAACGTATTATGTCTTGATGGAGAGTCGGATTGTTCGAATTAATTCTATGTGCTTGGATAAGAGACCTAAGCGCAAGCAAGTATTTTTCTGCATAAAGCGAACAAAAATTCTTGTAATATTACAAACTGCATGAAAAAAATGAAAATAGAGAAACGGTCACATACTCTTCCGTAAATAAACCTCAAATCCAAGCAAATGCGTTTCGATTCTTTTTGGAGATAATTCTTGAAGTGGCTGATAAAATTTAAACGCTTCCCCCAAAGGATCAGTAGTCTGTTTATAGAATGGTGAAATCGGGAAATTTATCCAGATTCATTAGAGAATACGCGAAACACCAATCATCTTTGAATGATGGAAAGCTCGAACCTTGACAAATTTTTCCCCTTCCGGATCGTCGTCTCGTGGCTTTTCGCCGACTTTCTTTTTTGCTTGCTCTTCTTGTTGAGCTAAGCATACACAATTTATAAAATCGTTAATTCATTCATAGATCCCGAATGGGAATTTAATTACATACCTTTTTTAGATTCAGCCTCTTGCTGTGCTTTAGCAGCAGCTTTTTTTGCTTTACTTTTAGCTTTTTTTATTTCACCTTCGGTCATATTTGCTAATTTAAGAATAAGAAAAATTAGAATAACATTGATGTATGCACTTTTTTTACTAATGAATTACCAAAATTTGAATTATCCTCCCTCTCGGCAATTACTGAGGGATTATCATATAGTGTCAAATATATCTAATAATTGTCGAAATAAATTAATAATATAAACTTATTAAATTCATTACATTTCTCTCCTTTTTAATATCAATAAAACTAATACTTTGATAGCATTCTGTGCAGCACGGAAGTAGTAAGGATGGGACCGCAGTCGATCCTCTAAGCGTAACATGCTATAAAAAAATGTTTGGTGTCGATAGTGAAGGTGGATAAAAATAGATATAAAAAAGCAATAATAAAAAATCACCTCAAGTAGGCACGAAGCGTTACTTTACGTAAACAATAAGAGTGAAAATCAAATTGATCATCCGTAATATCGGCAAAATGCTAAATTTCATCATCGTTTTAAGTGGGAACGGCAATTTGTTGAATCTATTGTCAAGTTATTGTTGAAATATTATTTAACACAAACCTGCACATTTTTTATATACCTTTTCAATTTGGTGGAATCTTTTAAGAGATCTACCAAACTTATTTTGCCTCAAGAAACATTCACCTTCCTCAAGTTCAAACCACATACATTGCATATCGATGAGATCCGTAAGTGGGTCTGGCGCATCACCCTAAAATATATCAACGATTTAAAAGATATAACCAAAATGACAATCCCGAGAAGACAGTACATTAAAGTAATTACGCACCCTTGTGAATAGGCCTATCGTCTTTTCAGCTTCGGCTATTTGACCGTTTCTGAGCATATACTTGGTACATTTTGAATTGATGAAACGATCTTGGAGATCAAGTTCGCGTCCTTCATTCATAGCTTTCATGGCCTCGCAAACGTCACCTCCATGCTATCGTATAGCCAATATTTATCAATTTAGCTTATTCGCGAGCTAGATGCCATCATCGAATAGAGCTGTCAAAATTCGGACCTTAAGAATACGACCCTTTGTCATATATAATTCAACCATAGTTGGGGTATGTTCGATCGCTTCGTTAATTAATTGCAACGCTTTTATCGTGTCCCGTTTATAATCAAAATGCTGTGCAAGGAAATAAAGTGTCCACAAATACGCTGTCGGTGGTTCTTTTAAATCGACTTCGGTTCCATTGTAAGTAAAAGTTTCATACTTCTTCAATGACTCAAGGTATCCTTCCACAAGAGATTCAATTATGGACGCTTTTTCGGGATCATCGTAGAGTTTTTTTACGTTGACGAATAGGGAAGGAACACCTTTACGAAGTGCCGATTGCAGATATTCATCGACTGCTTGTTTGAAATTCTCACCTAAGAATAGTAAAATAATTTTAATTATACACCACCTGGCAAACAATAAAATGATTTGATTGTTATTTGTTTACGAAGGCTTTCTTTTTTTTAATTATTAACCAACCGGACGTATATTGTAAGGGAAATCTTTTGATAGCATTCGACCGTGGATATTTAATTGCTAGCTCCTTGTAGGTTCTTAGAAACTCCACCTGTTGCTCCTCATTTAATTCCCCTAGTCGGAATTTGAATTAATAAAATATTTTAAAAATTACTAAACAGCTATTTTCTTATTAAACAGAGAAAAAGCGTTTAAACATACGCGTATTAATTTTTTGAGATTGGTGTAGACCCTCAAAATATTCGTAGCAGTCGGGATTGAGATCGATTAGTTCTCGATAAGCTTCCTCAGCTTCTTGGTGTTTTTCAAGCTTCAACATAAACTGAGCTACATAAATATATATTATTTTAAAATTACAAATTAAAATACTAAAAATGAGTGTTTTCAAAAACTCGTTTATATATGTATATACAAACCCTTTTTCTCTTTCCATGATTGTATATCACAAACTTTATCCTTGATAGATTCCAAATTCTCTAAAGCCTTTTGGATATCTCCACTTTCTTCGATTATTAAATTGCGATACATTAACATTTCTCCATGCTCAAAATCCAACGGTATAGGTTTTTCCTTTTAAAAAGGAAAGTCACGTGATTATACCCGGTACAAAATGCATATGTGCTCTTGAAATAACGTATTTGCAAACATGAATATATAATCCAATAATACCTTCAATGTGCTTTCGTAAGTGGTTAACACTTTTTCCGCTGTCTCATAATTTTTTAGCAAATGATGAGAGATCGCAAGACCTATCCAATATTTTTGATTGTTCGGTTTTAAGCTCAATAATTGAAGTTGGGAATCCTAGAAATTTTATCGCTGTTTGATAAGACTCAAATTTTAAAATAATTGAAAGATAAGGCATGATTCCTTTTACATTGAATGCCTCATAATTTCGCATTTGGATGAGCAAAAGAGAGTAATCTAACAGGATTTGCATATTATGCTGTATACAAATTAAAAGGTTCAAAAGAGGATAACAATAATTATTAGCAAATCAATTACAAAAGCCAAAATACAAGCGCATATATATATATATATAAAATGATCTTCTACCTTGTCGATTTTTAGAGCGTGAGTATAGCATTTTAATGCTTGGCCATAGTTCTTGTCGGATCGATGAAGTAATCCGTAGACATGCCAACCTGAAGATCATTATCGTTAAATATATCATTTCAATTTTTATGAATTCGAGTAATTTAATGCAATAGAATAAAAATTCCATGGATAGAAGTTTTCTGATTCGAAAAATTATCTTACATATATGACTGCCTTTATAATTGCCTTGATGAGTACCCTTAACATCATTACTTAGACCTTTGCGTACAAGTTCATGCGCCTCTTCCTTTCTATCCATGTGATTTAGAAAGAGACCTTTCATAGCCAATGTCTCTGAATCAAGAAGAAAACACACAAATTAATGCTTATCAATCCACTTATTTTATTGATTTTGCTACCCATCAATACCGACACATTTGTAAGATAAATTTATTCATATACCTCCATGTTCAGGAAATTTTTTCAAAATTTGGTCTGCGACTTTTAAGCCTTTTTTGAACTGTTTATACTCATAAAATTTCTACAGTTAAAATGAACACCAACCATTCAAGATACAACCCAAAAAACAATACGATTTATTGCCGAGAAAAAAAGAAAAAAACAAAAACTTGCTAGAATTTGCTTGAACAAGCTTGACTCCTTTGACGGCAAATCCCTCATGTTTACTAATAGTGCCTTTATAATGCCGCGTTAATATACATAGAAAAAGCGAGGCTTTATGTCAAAAATAAGAATTTGCGGCAGAATAAAGCACTTTACCGTGAAGTTTTATTCCCTAACGCTAAATAAATAGATATTTATGGTATTTTATGAATAGATATTAATTTTATGAAAAATTATTTGCTATGGTGTCATCAATAACGATCGATTAGAAGTATATTTTTAGGACATGAATTTTTGCGGTTTCTACATAGATAATGGAAGACCAACAACCTCATGAGCCCATTAATAAACAAGAAAGTGAACCACTTTCTCCAAAAACTTTAGGTGTAGTTGAAAACGAGCCTAATACCTCTGTATCAGAGTTGAATTTGGACATTATTAGGCTTGAGGAACGGTCAAGAGACGCGTCTTTTAACACAGAGAATATGGTTCCCGAAAATACTGCTGACGACTCGCGAAAAGCAGTTAATGAAGACACTCATTACGAAAATCATTCATATCCTGTATATTCCTTTGATTTTTCAAAACCTTGGGAACTTGTCTGCTCGACTAAAGAGATTTACTGTGAAACGGTTCATGATACTCTTGGAAAACTATTTCCAGAGACATTGAAAGATAAATACAATCAAATAAATGGATGGGAAGATAATTTCTTTAAGATGGCTAAATGGTAAGTAATTATATTATTAATGAACTTTTCTATATATTTGTCATATTCACTGTTAGTTATTTAGGTCACCCGATGGAACATGTATATTGACTTCTTCTAATGACAACATACTGCGATTATTTGAACTGTATGTATTAGTATTTTTAACGTTTAGATACTTTTCGTCGTTTAACTGAATTCGCTTTAATCAGACCTTTGAATGTATTTGAGACTATAGAAGGTAATCAGATAAATCTTTCTGTGATTAATTCAGCAGATAGACTTTTTTCTTTGGTTTATTAATTTAATTGTCTCAGAAATTGCATTAAACCCTGTAATCCAGGCTCGAACCGGGGAGACAATATACGATTGCTGTTGGTATCCGATGATGTCTAGTCAAGGTTAATATCCATTAAGCATCTCCCTGGTCAAAGACGCATTAATTTAAATGTATACAAATGACAAAAGTATATAATAACAGAGCCCGAAACGTGTTGTTTTCTCTCTTCAAGTAGAGATCATCCTATTCATTTATGGGATGCCTTTTCTGGAAAGGTAACTTCGAAGTGTACAAAATTTAAATTTTTGTTTTTTTGTGATAGTTTCTAAGGTGTGCTATCAACTTCGGATATTAACTTTTCAAATAGATAAGAGCTTCATATACAATAATTGATCATCGTGAACAAATTATCGGCCCAAATTCATTGGCATTTAATTTAGATGGCTCGAGGTAAGAAGGGGATTAGGGAAATTTGTATTACAAGAAAAAGTAATTTTTTACAAATTTATTTCTTGTTTAGGATTTATTGTGGTTATAACAATATGATTGAGATATTTGATAGTAGTCGCCCAGGGCGAGGAGGAGAAAAACATCCCACAACGCCAACGCGAAAGAGCAAGGATGGTCAAAAGGGTAAGGTTTATATTGAGCTAAACCATTTTCAAAACAATTCAAATAAGCAAATTTATTTACATGAAAACTTTAGGTTTGATTTCTTGCATAGCATTTAATCCCGATTATTCAGGATTATATGCCGCAGGATCATATTCAAGAACCGTTGGACTATACGATGAAAAAAATAATAAATTACTGTACCTTTTAAGGGATCTTTATGGTGGCGTCACACAGGTGCATCATTTATAGATAATTCATAACTCTGAATACCATAATATTAAATAAAAAATACGTATGAAATAGATTAAATTTTCATCGGATGGTTATTACCTATTTTCAGCATCTCGTCGAGACAATTTCATTCATTGTTGGGATATTAGGAATACCGGAGATGTACTTTTTAAGCTTAACCGGATTGGAGATACTAATCAACGGTTGATGTTTGACATTGATGCTTCTGGAAGATATTTGATTACTGGTGATCAGGTTAATCTTGGATTATTTTATTTTATAATTCAAAGAAAAGTAGCTCTACAAGATCATGAAATCTTTGCGTTGAAAAGTAATAAATACTAATTGTGCGAATTTAAATTCCTTAGAATGGTAAGATATTGATTTACAATATATCTAACCCTACGGAAAATATAGAAGATATTTCACGATTGATTGTAGAATTTTCAGCACACAATGGTAAATACTCGATTAATAAAAACAATTACTATTTTATGTATAAAAATACAAGTAATGTAACTTATGAAAAAAACAGATACGACTTCGGCGGCAGCATTCCATCCTACACTACCGTTAATGGTCTCCTGCTCTGGACAACGAAAGTTCGATACTGTTACAGATATGGTGAATTATAATGCCAATGCTTTCCAAGAAGGGAAAGAAGCGTCACTAATATCTCAAAGTCCGATTATATCATCCGGAAACGATAATAGGGAGAACAAAAATCCAAAATCTGATAATTCCCTCAAAATATGGAAAATTGAACAAGTCTGTGAGTGGTATTATCCTACATCTGCTGAAGCCGCTTGTGATGTGTAAAGTTCTTGATCCGAGATTTGTATTATAACTAAACGTAAGCTTATTGTGGACGTGTCGAGTAGTACAAAAATGTGATTTTAATTGTTTGAAGTTTATGATTTCTATTACCTAATGCGTAACGATAATGCAATAATATCTATCTCGATGAAAAAAAAGAAAAGACAATGACTTGAAAGTTGCATCGAGAAACCTACAATATTAAAAAAATATAATGTTGCGAAATATTTTAAAAGTTTCTCGACGTCATGGCAATTTTTTTTTGCCCTCCCGTTGCATGGCAACAGCTACTTCTGGAGGCCCAAGTTTCGCTTTAACAGAAGAGCAACGTAACATTCAAGAGCTAGCTCATAATTTTGCGAAAGAAGAAATTATTCCAAAAGCAGCCCACCATGACATAACGGGCGAATATCCAACAGAGATAATAAAAAAGGCTTGGGAGCTTGGGCTTGTTAACACACACATTCCTCAAGAGTTCGGTGGACTAGGCTTAGGTGTATTTGACTCGAGTTTGGTAACAGAAGAGTTGGCATGGGGGTGTACTGGTATACAAACGGCCATTGAAGCAAACGGACTGGCTGAAGCACCGCTTGTTGTAGCGGGAAATCAAGCACAAAATAAAAAATATCTTGGTCGAATGACCGAAGCACCTTTAATGGCGGCATACTGCGTCACGGAACCAGGTGCTGGCTCTGACGTTGCAGGAATCTCAACTAAAGCCGAGAAACAGGGTGACAAATGGGTAATTAATGGACAAAAAATGTGGATTACTAATGGCGGGAAGGCAAATTGGTATTTCGTGTTAGCTAGAACAGATCCAACAGCAAAACCTGGTTCTGCATTCACCGGATTTATTGTAGATGCTGATACGCCTGGAATTACTCCTGGAAGAAAAGAAATTAATCTTGGACAACGAGCTAGTGATACCCGAGGAATCACATTCGAAAATGTTGTTGTACCAGAGGAAAATGTGTAAGTCGAATCTACTTTGCGGATCCATTTGTTAACGAAGAAATATCAAAAACATTTCTAGTACGAAATAATAAATATAATCCATATTCATTCTTTAAATTTTCTTGCTTAAAGACTTGGTGTTCCTGGTAAAGGTTTTCAAATTGCAATGTCAGCCTTTGACATTACTCGCCCACTCGTATCCGCCGGCGCGGTTGGTCTGGCTCGCCGTGCTTTAGAGGAGGCAACAAAATATTCATTGGAACGAAAAACAATGGGCAAATTAATGTATTAATAAACTTTTCGCTTTCATATTGTTTTTAATTACTATCCTGAAAATACTTTATTCATTATCTCATGAAGATCTCAACATCAAGCCGTGGCATTTATGCTGGCTGATGCTGCCATCGGAATAGAAGCAGCACGAAATGTAGTTTGGAAGGTAATCATAATATTTTAGGCCTTTTAGATTAGATTGAGTCGAATGGATTTGTATTTTATTTATTGTGATTCAGTATTTTTCGTTTTTTTCTGAATCAATAATAATAGGCTTGTTGGATTCGCGATCAAGGTGAAAGAAACACGTATTACGCTTCCATAGCCAAAGCGGTATGTGAAATTATGTTGCTCCAAGATAATAATATTTTTTTAATAATTCAAAGACATGTATTGACTTCTGAATTTCGTATAGCTTGCATCTGATGTTGCAGTCAGCACTGCAAATATGGCGGTTCAAGTTTTTGGTGGAAATGGATTTAATACAGGTAAGATGTTTATTTATTATTAATTTGGTCGTTAACACTTAAAAAAATGATTATTGATTAATATTATTTGCAAACAATAAAAAAAGAATATCCCGTTGAAAAACTATACCGCGACTCGAAAATATTCCAAATTTACGAAGGAACATCGCAAATTCAACGTGTTATTATTTCTAGACATCTATTAGACAATGTGTCCAAATAATGTAAAAATATAAATTCATAAATGAGTGTTTATTTAATTTTAAACCATGAATGTTTGTCGAATCAAGTTATTGGATTTACAATAATAAACGTTGATACACCGACAATCAAAAATTTGTCATACGGGATCCTTGCTCACAAGCATGTAAAGTACGGGATTCGCGATCCACGCGAGGACAAAGCACAAGGTCTACCAATCCATCGAAAAGATCAAAGCGTAGTCCAAAACGCGATTCAGATCACATGATTACACATCAACCTCTCTCTATATCGATTCGTCGCAGAGAGGTGAATTTTATATGTTAACGTTAACTTGACCCATTTTTATTTTTTTATATATAAAAAAATTGTTATAGAAAGGTTGACTTACATCACATAAATAATGATTTATCCATCAATTTGAGTTTAATGATTTTTTAATGATTAATTAAAAAAAATGAATTCATATCAACAAGGTCAAAATTTTGAACAAGCTTTCAATATGATAAGAACGTTAAGAATATTTATTTTTGCGTGAGATGAATTTAAAATTCACAAGTGTTGAATTATTATCTATCCTATTAGTAAAAAATCACATCGGGCTATAGAGAGAAGCCTCTATAAACGTTGGATATTATGATAATAATTTGTTTCAGCTAACCAAAAATTAAAGTATTCAAAAACAAAGGTTGGGACTTAATTTCTGTAAACAAAACGATACAGATGCAAAATATGGTTTATTTATGGTGAAAATCCTCCATTATCAGTGGAAAATAAGTAACGAATTTACAAAAGTTATTTTATTTGATTAAGCATGAAACTCCTTGTTAAAAAGGTTCTCCTTTTATACATTTTTCTCAATGATTTTACTTATGTGGTTTGCGTGATTTCAGACGCCCCGACTCTTACAACATGATTACAACGAAAATACAACATCAATCACAGAAAAAATTGCAAGAGAAATTTACAGAAGAAAACGCAAAAGAAAATAACAAAGGAGAATACTAACCGGAAATTACATGAGAGACAATGTACATGTAATAATGTTCAGAAATATTATGCAATAAAATTAGTATAGTGCCACCGGTTAACAATAACGTTATTTATTGAAACGAAAATTATATAACGATAAGTTTTACTAAATTAAAGATTCCACAGTTTTCCTCCCATATAATCACCACCTATATAGTCACACCCTCTCTACAATCACACCTTTTTCCAGTTCCAGATATTAGAAAGCATAGAAAATTTGACTCCTATACAGTCACAACCTCTTTAAAGTCGCACTTTTTGCTGCTCCCAAGGGCGCGATTATATGAGAGGAAGACTGTACTATTGCCATAATAACAATACTTTATTGTATTGTAATAAAGCCAGTACATTCATATAATAATTTCGCTAGCAATTCTATTTATTTTTCTTAACTCGATAATGTCTGAATTCTATTGCCTTTTCGAATTTCGTCCGAATTCTATTATTTTCATCCTGCATTGTTGCAAAATAAGAATAAAATTATGGAGCTGTTATTATAGTCAGCCAGGTTCAGTGATCTTGGACAGGTCCAGTAACAGGTATGAACGCTTGTAGTATTATTGACTAACATGACTATGTACTTAATTATTTTTCTATTAATACGTTCTGGCACTGAGTCTTGTCACAATTCCAAGATTATCTTTAAGCTCCTTTACAGGTTTACTCCTGTGAATTGATGCATTATCCTCTTGAAATATTGCCTCTTCTGCAACCCTAACCATTAGATAAACTGTATCTAAAACAATGTTTCCATACTTTTTATCATTCATTTATGATGGGGTGCGAATTAAATGACTTAAAATTGAGCTTATTCACACACATCCCCAGACCATAATAGATTTTCGTCCACTTTTAACGGTTGCTTGTGTACAATTTGGATCATAAAGCTCATCCAACACGAACATTCCCATATGAATCGGTACTGACAGAGAATTCGTCAGTCCAAAGAACACGTCACCAATTACCAATCTTCTTTGGTCCAATTTTTGTGAAGCTTAACCCGGTTTAATCATTTGATTCGATTTTTCTAATCCATGGTTTTTTACGTGCAATATAGGATTTGATATTACTTTTCTTGAAACTTGTCATTAGATGAGATTTTATTAGCAAGCAGACGTTTTGGCAATCTTCTTATCGACGTTCAGAAAGATCATCAATAATTAAATTTTTGACCACTAATCTTTCTTTTCAAATAACCACAATTTTTTATTCTTTGACATTAGTGGCTGATTGTTCAAGAATGCGTGCAACTTTTGCAACAGAAATGCCTTATTTTGACAGTATTGCATTCTCCATTAGTAAGATCTTTATTGATGCCCATTTGTGTATACATACACTTTAACTTTTCGAGTTTTATTGTATTTAAGTAGTGAATTGAAGAACATCTTTTGTTAGCAGACAAAATTCAATTTTAATGTTGTTATTATATTGCTATATACCACGACCTCGTCTTAATATTTTGTCCCCCTCTGTACATGAAAACATATATTCAACAGACAACGTAATACATGTAAAAACAAACCATCAAAACACATAATCAACTTACATAATGGTTCAATAATATTGTAACGTTAAAAATGCGTTTAAAATGTACGCCAACCTCTAAATAAAAAGTTTTCTTTCATCAAATGTATGTTGTTATGCCCACATAGAATTTAAATCATTTACATACAGTATCTCTCGTTTGTTTCATGTTCATATATCGATATAAATGCATTTTATAAAATGAACTCAAAGATGGAATCAAATACTTACCATTGTAATGAATGTTTGCGTTGCCAAAAAATTACACTGCGATGGATGTTTTTAATATCACAAACGAATTTATAATGATGAGTTGTATAGCGGAGATAAAGATATCGACCATCTAATAAAAGAATACAACAGAATTAATTATAAATATAAAAATATATTCGAATGAGTTACTTTTGAAAGCTTTATCAACGTAGAACATCTTGCGAAAGGAGGTTTTGGGTCAATTTATAAAGCAACTTGGTTGGATGGACCATTGGATTATGGTGAATATCGTTGGTTGGCACCATTTGATTATGGTGAAGATCGCTGTCCCATGAAATA